TTGGACTATTTGGCTTGTAAAGGTCACTGGCGAATCTAAAATCTTGGGGGTAGCTTTTATACTTCCCTTTGACATACATTGCACTGGTGATCAATACTGCATCCCAAAACCAAAACCACGTTGGGGGGAAGAGAGCTGTTCAGATATAGTTTCTTCAAATAAGTTACATCAGTGGTTCCCAACCTTCCCCCCCCCCAATGGAGCACTTGAAAATTGCTGAGGGCCTTGGGGGACCACTTAATTATTCTTCTACCTGTTGTAGTAATTGTAATACTCTGTGATAGATGCTGTATGGTTTGTAATTGTATTAACTGATGTGGATCCCAGTTTAGAAACCTCTGCTCCATGCTCCATTCACTTTGATCAGTATCCTATAAACCAGGATTATATGACACTATACAGTTACTCTCGATTGATAACTTCAGAGGTTCAGCACAGATTATTGAAGTGAATGACTTAATAGTTATGGCCTTAAAAAAACCTGTTTTGCTATCAGGCTGTGACTAATGAACACAGCACCTCAATTAGACAGAGACATTGATGGGTATGATCCTACATGACACTCAAATGTATGAAATAATAATTAAAAAAAATTAATCTGAACCAAATACAATACATGAAATATTTGAGTGCAAAGAGAAATACTATTTGCCAATAAAAGCCCATTAACACGAAATAACTATTGATTTTTTATCCTGCTTTACTTTGAACTGGACAGTAAGTTAGAAAAAAGTAAGCAAATAAAGAAAGATAAATTAGCATGAAGTAGAAACAGAACCAAAAAGTATAACATCCTTGATGCAGTTTTGACCACTGGAGACATATTCACGAACACTCTCTGCACCTTTATTTAATTACAGGTCTTGATACAGCCAGAAGAAAACACAAGGAGCAGTAGTATTTGCAGATATTTCTGAGCTGTCTTATTCCTTTATTTCAGCAGCTGGAATTTTAATGTTTCCAAGGCCTAATGCCGATTTCAGTCTTATGGAGCTATTCCAGAAGCACTCCAGTGATTTTGTTGAATCTTTGCTGAGCATTACCTTGCTAGTGCTGAAAGCAGAATGTGGCTTCTCTGTTTTAGTCATCTAGTCATTGTAAGGAAATTGCTATAACTTTATAATGAGCAGTAGTGATATTTAATCTAGGTGCTTTTCAGACATTATTCTTGGTACAAACAACCCTGGGACAAGTATGGAAGCAGCGAAGGAAAGAATTCATCATAGGCAAGGCGGCATTCCCGCAATAGCCAACACCTTCTCTGCTGCGCCAATGCACTTGTCACACCTGTTATGCCACTTGTTGTAATATAAAACCTGGCTGCACCACAAGGTGTGTTTTCCTGCATCAAAAAACATTAATCCAGCTTGGAGTTGGGTCATGGTGCTGTTCATTGGCCCTGGTTGATAAATGGTGAGGAGCATAGGATGTGAGTGGTGCACCCATATAATCTTAATTCCCTTGTCATCTTCCAAAACATCTAGAATTTCTTGCAGTGGCCCTGGGTGCAGAAATGGGAAAATAAAGCCATGCAGGACTCTGACAGATAGCCCTAAAAAACCACACACGCACAAACCAGTGACCCATAGTTCAGCAAACTATATATTTAAATTAAGTTACCATTCTAATTGAGAAAGGTGAGTGGAAGCTGGCAAAGGACTTGGGCATATAAGGCCAATAAACAGAAATCAAGAGAAAACCCAGTGTTTTTCTATCTGTGTCATCCAAGCGCTGTCTTGAGTCCCTCTGCAAATTGCTGATGTGATGTCATTGACAACACTCCTCTCAAGCATGTGAGAAAAAGCTGGGGTTCAGACTCAAGTTCCTTCAGTTCAAGATTAAAATTTAAAAAACAGCCAGCCATGCTTGAAGGTTGATTTTTGTGCTCTGATTCTGATGCAAGATGAAAGATTTGTGGGAGAATGAAAAAAGGATTTGTGGAAATGCTGTGTTTATTGGATTGTGGAGCAGAGATTGCACCAAGTACGCGTTTCAGTCTGAGCTGTCTGTTGTTACTGCTCACTGTTGCTGCCCCATACTTCCTTAAGATCCAGTGGCCCTATTGGCCTTCATTGTTGTGGTTTATTTATTGGTTTATATCAGGGGTGCTCGATGGAAGGATTCAGCTTGTGTTGTAGAACCCCCAAGTGTCCACCTAGAATCCTGAAACACCCACTAGTGGGCAGTAGGGACCAGGTTGACAATCCCTGGTTTATACATACGATTATGCATGTCCTAGGGCATCCGTAAGGCACATCTGGGAGAGAGACAAGGCTGTAGGCAGAAGTGGCAGCAAAAGCAAGGCACCAGCACCAGTCTTACGGATGATTACCAAGAAAAAATGATCTAAGAGTCTTGTGGCTTCTTTAAAGACTAATACATGTATGGTGGCACATGCTTTTTTAGTCTCAAGCCACAAAGCATATGTGGCAGATATTTCAAGGAGAAAATTGTAAGGTGCAATGTCAATGAGTTGAGAAACTCACAGTGATAATTAGAGCATAAATATTTGTTTAATAGGCACAACTTGGTGAACATCACTGAGATGGCTGTATTCACAACTGTAGGTGGGCAGGGAACCATTTGTAAGAAACAGTCAATGATAGCACAGATATCCAGGCTTTGGGAAGCTAATTAACCCATGTAGTGTGATTAAAAACTCCTTGGTCTTGAAGTGAACTAATCAAAGAGAAAATATGTGGTGTATTTTGTTTTATTTTTAATACAGCACACTTTGGGATTATTCCACAGTTATCTCACCTTTGCGTATGAATGCATAGCCTCTTCAGTTTAGCATATGATTCCCTCTCTCCTCCAGTATCCAGTTGCATTCTACCCGAACAAACTGCATTTTACTTTCCAAGTGGGTGTCACATACCCCTGGGTAACAAATTATGGTCTTTTTTGTCAAAGCTGTTTTTTTTTTAAAAAAAATCCTGTTCAGTTGTAGGGTGTTAGACCTTCCTGCTTTTGTTTGTGGGTCTACTTTTGTTTGTATATCTAGAGGGCAAAAGTTGTTTCATTATTTCTTTCTACTTACTTTGCTGTTTTTAAAGCCCATAACAGCATTATTCTCTGCTTTTAAACCAATACACAAAACTACTCCAGGAAATAATACGTATAGATTCTTAGCATGTAAATAAAATGGAGAGGGTGGAAGATGACTGGCTGAGCTCATGCTCATGTTGCAACCCACCTGACTTGGAGCTGATGAGTCTGGAGATGCCAGTAGACATTTGTGGCTCAACAGTGGATATATTGAGGGGGGCATACAGGCCTGAATAATGGGGAAGGGGCATAATAGGCACCCATTAGACAATGCTGTCCAATTACTTATGCAAAAGTCTCAGTTAAGCCAGTGGGATTTAGCCATGTGTAACTGTTGGTGGGGTTAAGTCCATGGAGCTTTCCATAGAGTCTAGTTCTTTCATATAATCTTTGTCGATGTCAATCAATTCAAGCATCCCTTTGCTGCAGGAAGCTGCTGAGTCCTTGACAATCTTGGCACAGATATTTGGAAAAGAAGGGACGGGGAGTCTAATCAGTTTGGGAAGGAAGCCAGTAGAAATACTTTTTGCTGGCAAATCTCTTGCAGGCTGCCTTGCCATCAAATCTCAGGGCAAGCTCTTCGCGTGAGCTTTTGCAGTTAGCATTGCATTTCCATACCACCCATATCCTTAGTATAGCTGTCCTCCTACCCTGGCACTGTTCCCTTGTATGGCCTCCCATAGATATCCTGTTCTCAGTATGTAAAATCAAGTAGCAGCTGAAATGGGTGTTGGCATCTTACTCACTTGCCAGTCTTTCTGCCCCATCTCGGCAGTGCCAGTAGACACTAAATCTTTCGCCAGGTAGGCTGCCCTCATCTGGACAGGCCCCCTCCTCTTTCTCCTCCTCATCCATGCCATAATTGCTGCAGTAACCTTAATGGTCCCATTAAAATTAAAAGGCTACAACTATGGATGGATCATGTTTTCAGTTTGTATCAACTGCTTGTTGACATTAGAAGGGAAATATCTATCGTGCCTTATCATAAAAGGTCTCCAGCAGAAGTACTTGGGCTGGGGTGGGAAGGCATTATGATACAGAACCCATCCTGAATTGTTTTGTCTCACTGCTGAGATTTAAATGTGAAACAACTGGGGTTTTCTTTCGTCTGAACATGGAAGTCCTTTTCAGGCCATATTTGCTAAGCATTCACGCACTGTTTTGCAAACTTGGTTACCGTCAGGTGCAGAAATCTGAAGCAGAATTACATTTCAGGTTGACATTTCCTTGCCCTAATAGTTAAAAATAAATAAATGAAATCAAACTCTGCCTCCTCAGTTCAGTGCTTGTTAATCATTTTGGCTGGTCTTGCCCTGATGCCTTTCTTCTTGTGTTGAATGTGGAATCTATCTAAATTACATTGGGAAGTTGCATGACGGGGCTTTACAATTCAGTTACCTTGGTGCTTATATATCATCAGAGCAGAACTCAATTAGCTGTGTCAAATTTTGCTCGCGAACATGCCTGCAACAAAAAGATGCTTGGGACCCTCCCTGAAATGTTTACCAAGAACATCCCCAGAAAGTCACCCTACCCTGTTCTTATATTTGTTTGAATTTTCAGGTGTTGTTTTTTTTAAGTATTTTGAAAGGTGTCAAGGCTGTAACTTAGTAGTAGAGCATCTACCAGTATCTCCACCTGGTAGCATTCTTCCATTGGAGGGGTGTTCTGATCACGACTCTCTCTCCTCCCGTATATTTGGATCCCAGTCCTTGTTAATTAGATTCCAGGAGAAATCCCTTCAGTCAGATGTGTCACCGTTGTCCTTCCTTGTCGAGCTGAGAGACTGATGTTGTATCTAATAAAGAATTCACCTTGCTTACTCTCTGCATCCTAACTGCTCTCTGGGGAGTGCTAAAGTGTGCTTAAGCATATTGTGAAGTCTTATTCAAAATGTCCGCTGCTGCATGGGCAGTAATCTGAAATGTTCAATCTTTACCCTGTCACTTCAGGCTGGCATGATTCGCACAGACAAGGACGAGTTCTTCATTGAACCTCTGCAGAAGGGGAAGCAGGAGGAGGAGGAAGGGAGGACCCACGTGGTGTATCGCAGGGCAGCCGCCAAGAAAACACTTCCTAGCGAGCAACCAGGTATCCAGCACAGAGGTAAGGCTGAGATGCTAATGACAAGTGATGTTTAAAGCTCAGCTAAAAGCATGCGTCCAATGGCCAGTATAATTGTTAATCTGCTTGTGTCTTTGATGGGAGAAATTCCTTCTCTCTCCATTCTATGTTTCAGCTTCTTACTGTTTGGAAGATTTGCAGGAACTGGGACTTGGGGGAATATGAGTCAAAGTTAAATTAGTATGGCAGCAACCAGTATCTTCCTGAAAATACTTTTGATTCTTTCGTTGTTGGAAATAGGCAGCATAGGCCAGTCATGAAACGGTTGAGCAATGGAGACCTTTACAGTTGGGAAGGAAAAATGCAGCTCCACTACATATAAACTGGCATGGCATACTGCAGGGTAGGGGTGCTGAGGTCTGTGTCTGTTAGCACATGCTCATGTAGCAGTCAGCAATGCTGTGATGCTTATATATGGGCAAGAATCACCACTGATTGAGTGTTTTGTATCACCTCTAGCACAACCTTATTCAGTAGATGCTGTTCATACATTGCACTGTCAAGTGGTGTGTGTGTGTGTGTGTGTGTGTGTGTATGGACGCGGGTGGCACTGTGGTCTGAACAACTGAGCCTCTTGGGCTTGCTGATCAGAAGGTCGGCGGTTCGAATCCCCGCGACGGGGTGAGCTCCCGTTGCTCGGTCCCAGCTTCTGCCAACCTAGCAGTTTGAAAGTATGCCAGTGCAAGTAGATAAATAGGTACCGGGAAGGTACCTATAGGGAAGGTAAACAGTGTTTCCGTGTGCTCTGGCACTCGTCACGGTCTTCCGTGCACCAGTAGCAGTTTAGTCATGCTGGCCATATGACTTGGAAAACTGTGGACAAACGCCGGCTCCCTTGGCTTGAAAGCGAGATGAGTACCACAACCCCATAGTCGCCTTTGACTGGACTTAATTGTCCAGGGGTCCTTTTCCTTTACCTCTATCTATCTATCTATCTATCTATCTATCTATCTGATTAAAGACTTTCTCCCTTGCATGTCATTTTGCTGCTAGTGGATGTTCAGGGTCAGACTGGCAAGATGTCGAGCAGCAGACAGTGAGAGGCCAGAGTGGTGTAGTATCTTGAAAAGGTGCTATAGCTCATTGGTAGAGCACATGTTTTTCATGCCTTGAAAGGATCAGCAAGCAGGAGGAAAGACTTCATTTTGCTGCCGCCAGTGAGACTAGATAATATTGAGCTAGGCTGATAATAGAATCTAGAATTGTTGAGTTGGAGTTGAGTTGGTCATCTAGTCCAGCCCCTTTCAATGAAGAAATCTTTTGCCCATTGTGGGGCTCAAACCCATGGCCCTTAGATTAAGAGTCTCATGCTCTATCAGCCCAGCTATCCCAGCCATGAATAAACTGACCTGGTATGAAGCAGCTTCCTATGTTCTACTAGGAAAAGCGAGTTTTGTGGAACATGTTGGGCCAGCATCCATTCTGTTTTTCTAAGATCAGAATCACCTATTGCATAGGAGAAGAATCACTAAATGAAAAAGCCACCATGGTGCTGAGTTCATAGTCCCAATGAGCACCTGTTGCTCCCCAATTAGCCATATAGGGAAAGAAGGTGAAGCGATTATGGGGAACAAAGATGAAAGGGCACACAGCACAGGGACAGTGGGAAGCCTATCACCAAGCAGTGCCAGGAGAGTTGATGACATTGTACAGTTGCGCATTATTCAGGAATCATAGGCTGTGGAAGGTGTTAGAGCTGAGATGGGAGAATTGCACTGTTTGTTTGAACTTGTGCTTCCCATCTGAACTGTTAGAGCTCTTCCTCCTCCTCCTGATCACGGTAGGTTTACTGGCCACAATCTGTAAGTGGAGGGATGAGTGGGGCAATGGGGTACTGGGTTAAGCACTGCCAGCCATGCAGTTCCAGTGCTGCTAAATAGAAATTGGGTGCTTTTTCATTTGCAGTTGCTAGGAGAGTTTTCAGAAGTGCCAGTGTGATTCTGTGATTTGTTTTGGGTGCTTTGGGAGCAGTTGCCCTTATTGGCACTTGCTGTTTTCTTCCCCCTGGACCCAGTTAATATATTCAGCCAGCGGCAAAATCTTGTAGTGCAGTGAAGGAGTGGCATGAGCCCCCTCACCTGTATCTCGCAGACACACAAGCATCAAGTTGCACAAAACTTATATTTGTTGATTTATTCCCCCAAGCAAGACGAGGAGCCACTCCAGAAAGGGGGGGTTTCAACGAATCAATCTGTTGCATGGGGGGAAATAAACATTTCATGGGGGTTTATCTGCATGCTAGAAGGAAGGGGTCTGTGCATCTTCTCTCCCATGCTACTTCAGCCCCCAGCCCCTGGTGAATCAATAAACTGAAGCACTGCTATTGTGGTGCTGAGTAACTGCTGGTAAGAGCAGTACACTAACTAACTTGAATCTGCAAAGAGCACAGCACTCTGCAGGGCCATATGCTTGGGCTGCCCATGTAACCGGAGCATATCTTAAGTTGCTGAAATTCCTCTGATGTAGATGTGTTTACACAGATTACTTCAGTGTTGGAAAAATATTTAATTGGCACATATTTTCCCTTGAAACAAAAGAACTTGAATATGGTTCACACCTTATGGCACTACTTTTTAAAAAAATCTTAGATGTTAAAATAAATATTCCATGGCAAATAGTAGTTACCCAAATCAACAAATTTCATTCAGATATGGCTGCTGTATGCTCAAGATTAATACCCCTTGGCAGCCATGGATCTGAAAAGGGGTGAAATACATGACAGAGGGTGCAGCTTACCCTATTTCGAAGATACTTGAAATTAACGCCCATTTAGAAACCTACTGTTGACCAAATTCAAGGGGCTGTGTATCACACAGGGTTGACATTTTCATTGAGCTATCTGCCATGTCATTCACCACCAGCTCAGACTCCAGCAGTGAAATGAAAGTCACAGAATTTCCTGAATTTTGAGGTTTATATATTCTGATGTGGTTGTACCTGCTAAATTAGTTAACTGTGTCTGTGCCTTGAAATTAAACTCATGGCACATGGGAACCAGAACTTTGTTGATAGTGATGAATTCCAAAGATATGTTAAGGAATCTTGCTCTTTACTGAGATAAAGAGCAAAGCTATGCCTTTTCCATGACAACCATATTGTTCATTTTTTGTGTGTGCTGTCTTTTGCATCCCATTCTTAATAGTGCAGTTGTATTAATCACTGTGCTTTTATGATTTGTCCCATTAATTTTATTTCAACTAGGACAGTGTTGCTGAAGAAAAGCCAGTTGACCAGCAACCTTCAGGTTAGGGCATCAGGCATCAGCCACCTTACTTGGGAAAATGTCTCTCAAGAATAGTAGCCTAATAATATTAGTGTGGCGTAAGCTACTCTTATTTGCAGCAATCTCTATAAGTGTTATTCTCTGACCTATATTCTACCAGGCCCCTACATTCCACGGTACACAAAACTGTTCCATCTGTTGCACAGAATTTGGACTCCCTCAAAACACTAGGCACATCAAGAGAACCTTTCCCATCAATTTTTAAAAGAGATTTATCCTTTTAAAGAAATGGAATGTGCTTGGAGAAAACATATGCTAATAGGATGGCGCAAGATTGTGTCAGGCTGGAGACAATTTCAGCTTTAATCAAAATGTTTTATGAGTTTCAGGAGAAAAGGAAATGCATCTTGGCAGGGCAATCTGCATTTGGTTTAATGATTGTAAGAGGCTAAAGGATATAAAATTTCCAGCATTTCTCACACAACACTACTTTATTAATGGACCAGGGAAATTAGAGTATCCTGTTCCAACAAGCACCATTATTAATGGTGCTTCCACAACATTGATACATTAGTATCCAGTGTGACAATATATGGAAGCATAAAGTGGAAAATTATTTGTAAGGAGGATTTGCAGTGATATGCTGCTGGTGGGGACATGAAGAGCTTTAATTATTTTTGGCACTTTACAGCCAGAACAATTGATTATTTTATGTTTATGATTATAACTGCAAAATTGTGCTAATAAAATTAAAAATAATTAGTGAACCCTTGCTCTAGCCACAAAAAAGAAACCAGTACTTTAAGTGCATGTGCGCGACACACACAAACACACACGCAAGAGCAGGAGCACCATGCAGCACCACCTTGTCCCACCAAACCATGGTCCAGGTAAGCTGCAGTGATGCTGGTTTCAGGAGGGTGGCTCTACCCCACCTCACTGTTTGCAACTGCTTACAGCAAGTTAGACCGTCAGTTCCTCTAGCCCAGTATTGTTGGGTCTGTTTGGCAGTGGGTTTCTGAGATGTCAGTCAGAGGGTTTTCATAGCTCCAGCTAGCTGGTTCCTTTTAAACTAGAAACACTAGGGGGTTAACCTGAAACATTCTGCATGCAAAGCATGTGCTTTACCATTCAGCTATGGCCACTCCCCCGAAGAATAACGTGATTAAAGGAGAGGGCTGGTCACTCAAATTGGATTAGTCCTCATATAACTTTGGACAATGCTGTCTTGTGGTGCAACACTGTCTTTTGGTTTATATGTGTGTGACCACTATATTAATGGATTTCATTACAGCTTGATATACAGCAACACTAAGCAATCATCTCCAAATCTGGTGTTTAAATATATGCCACCATGTTTTCATGTGGTAGGAAAATAAGCTGCTGCAAAGTTATAAAAACTGAGACAACTTTCTGTAGATCTCAGAGATGTTTGAGGCGAATAACTCTTTCATCAAAGTCTCTCAGCCTGACAAATGCTATTGATTTTTCTAAAGTATGTACATTACTTTTAAGAAACCAATGCATATGTTTTCCTTAAAATGTATATTTCTCTGGAATTCCTGAAATGACTTATAAATTGGCTAGAGGGCTGGCTGCTGGCCATTCTAATTTAAAGAAACTCTGCCAGTTACCTTTAAAAAGGAATTGTTCCATTAGAAAACCGACATTTCCTCAAATCCAGTCAATATTTCCCTTTCAGTGCGTACCCCTGGTGATTAATGAGAGTTCTCTTATTGTGCACTCAGTAAGGCAGCGG